GAGGTAGGATTTACAACACATAGGAAAATCACATCAGATGACAAAATGGTGGACAATCACACAATACTGGGAATCATGGATTAGCCAGTTTGACACACACATTTTTGGGGGACACAATTCAATCCATAGCAGTTGGTGAGGTGTAGAAACTGTCTTAGGCTGTGAGTGGGAGTTTAAATTGGTACAGCCACGCATCAGGGCAGTTTGCAAAGGGTTAAGTGCTCAGCTAGTAACCAGCACATCAGCAGTTTGAACCCACTAGCTGCTCTGCAAGAGAAAGATGTGGTAGTCTGCTTCTGTAGAGATTACAGACTTGGAAACCCTGTGGGGCAGTTCTGTTCTGCTCAGTAGGTTCACTATGAGTCATAATCGACTTGATGGCAACAGGTATTAAAACTAAAAAACATGCCTATACCCTCTGACCCAGAAATTCCACTTCTCTTCCCCAGAGTATCTTCCCCAGAGAGATACTTGCATGTGAGCACAGGGACGCAGTGCAAGGGTGTTACTCAATGTTGCATTGTTGGTTATAGTCAGAGACTGGAAACAACCTAAATATCCAGCAGTAGGGGAATGGCTGAGTAAATTGTAGTATATCCATGGCATTAAATACTGCACAGCACTAGAAAGAATGAAGTACATCTGTATGTTGTTACATGGGTGGATCTTCAAGACCAATTATTGGGTGAGAAAAGCAAGTTATAGAATCATATGTATATTCTAATGCTGTTATTGTATTAAGAAACAAAAGTATGTGTTTCAGTGTGTAAGCTATGATGCTGTAACAGAGAGACTCCAAATAGCTTAAGTTGGGTAGCTTCTTTCTCTTCTTTTTCATATAACAGTCCAGAGGAAAGTTGTTGTCCAGGGTAGGTGGTGTTCCATTTATTTATATAACAACAATAATTGCGTTATGCTCATAGATTCTGAGGGTTACGAATTTAGGCAGGGCACAGTGAGGTTGGCTTGACTGTGCTCCATGATGTCTAGGGCCCTAACTGGGAAGACTTGAATGGCTGGGGGTAACTCAGATGTCTGGGAATTGATATCATCTGGAAGTTTCTTTACCCACATCCCTGGCACTTGGGCTGGGAAGACAAGAAGGTTTGTCTTAGTTGGGACTGTTGACTGGAGTGCCTGCATGTGTCAGGACTTCTGTACAGTATGGTGACCTTGGGGTGGTTGGACTTCTTGCTCCAAGAGTGAGTGTTCCCAAAAATAAGGTGAAAGCTGCAGAGTCTCTCAGGACTTTGTCTCTGAAGTCACGTTATGTTGCGTCTGCCATATTGTATTGGCCAAAGCAGTCATGAGCCTGCCAGGATTCAAGGGGGAGGGAAGAGAGACCCCACCTCTCTATGTGAGGGGTGCCAGAGAATGGGTGGCCATGTTTAAAGCCTTCACAGGTGGGAAGCTCTGTCATGTGAGGTTACCCTGGGACCCATATTGGTTTGGCTGGGAAGCTGGGAGTGGCTTCCATCACACGGCTTTCGTCTCTGGTTTCCAGGTAACTGGACCCCTTGTTGCCATATCCTAGCCAGAGAGCGGAGTGAAATGAGAGTGGAGGGCAAGCAAACCAAAAAAGCCCATTGCCGTCGAGTCGATTCTGACTCATCAGGACCCTATAGGACAGAGTAGAATTGCCCAATAGGGTTTCTAAGGCTGTAATCTTTATGGAAGCAGACTGCCACATCTTTCTTCTACAGAACGACTGCTGGGTTTGAACTACCGACCTTTGGGTTAGCAGCTGAACGCTTAACCATTTGTGCTCCCAGGGCTCCTTTGGAGAGCAGGCAGTTCGTTATAAAAATGTGGTTCAGAATTTGCACACATCACTTCTCCTTGTATCCCACTGGCTAATGCTACACTTAGCTGCAAGGGAGGCTGGAAGACGTAGTTTCTAGCTTGGTGGCCATGCACCCCGCTACGACTCAGCAATGTCCTGTTACTAAAAGGAAAAAAAGAAGAACTATTAGGGACAATTAGTCTGTGCAACAATATGTATTTGTGTGTATATATATATGTATATGCATGTACATATACAGTACTATATATAGTATTTGTGTGTGTGTGTAGAAATAGGTCTATATAGAATTACAGAACTAAATAGAAAACAGGTCTGGAAGAATCCATAGAAAAAGATCTGGAATAATAACAGTGCTTACTTCTAGGGAAGGGAGAGAAGACAGGTTAGGGGTGTATTCAAAACAGACTTTAACTGTAGTGGTAATGTTTTAATTTTTAACAAGGAGAATGTCTTCACGCTTTACTTGTGAAATTAAATATTAATTCAAGCTGAAGAGGGCCTGATGAGCATCTGGCTGCTGATCTTGCAGCCTTGGTCTTATCTCTTCTGTGGGGGCCCCAGCACCAGAGGGGGCACAGGGAGTATAGCACAGCCCTTCATCTCCTAGAAGCCTCAGCTCACATGGCCCAAGGACTCTCAGTCCAGTGGCCTCACCTTCACAAAGCTGGTGTAGTCATATCAGGGTCTCTCTGCCACTGTCGTCCTCCTCAGATTCCACAGGGTTTTCTTTATGACCAGCAGATACTTGTTGAACATAGGGGGCTGTTTGGCACTGAAGGAGCAAATTCAAAAGTGATCAAAAGAGGGCCCCTTTGCCCAGAGATTGCTTATTAATTACAAATAGCAAGACGGTAACTGTATGATGGGGAAACCAGGTGGGCACCACCATTAACAAGCAGTCAGAGTTCACATCCCTGATGCCATGTCCCCCCCCCCACGTGGTGTACCAAGGACACAGCATCCCTTCAGTGACATTCCTGCCCCAAGTGCATGCCCGAAATCTAATCACGAGGAAACATCAGACAAATCCAGACTGAAGGACAGTCTATACAGCAGCAAGGCTGGACTCTTAAAAAGTGTCAGTGTCATGAAAGACAAAGAAAAGGTTCAGGAGCTTCTGGATTAGAGGAGTAAAGAGATAAGAGAAGGCAGTGGCGGTCAGGGGTAGAATCCTTACCTTCCATGCAGGAGACTTGAATTTGATTCCCAGCCAGTGCACCTCATGTGTAGCCACCACTTGCTTGCCTGTCGTTGGAGGTTTGGGTGTTGTTATGATGCTGAACAGGTTTCAGCGGAGCTTCCTGACTAAGAAAGACTTGGAAGAGAAGCCTGGTGGTCTACTTCTGAAGATCTGATCCATTGTACATGGAGTTGCCATGAGTCAGGGGCCGACTCAATGGCAGCTAACAACAACAGAGAGATAAGAGCAATAACAGAAGGCATGAGACTGTATTGGTCCCAGGATCTGGGGAAAAATTGCCACAAAAGGACATTATTGGGACAGTTGGCAAAATTTGAACTTGGATGATATATGAAATCATAATATTGTATTGTACCAATGTTAATTTTTTTGTATTTGCTAATTATACTATGTATGTATAAGAGAATGTCATTCTTCTCAGAGTTATACATTGAAGTATTTAGGAATAAAGAGGCATGATGTCTACAACTAACTCCCAAATGGTTTAGAACAGGAGTGGGCAAACTTTTTTGGTAAAAGGCCAGACAGTGAATATTTTAGGCTTCGCGGACCATGCCGTCTCTGTCATAGCTACTCAACTCTGTTGTCATAGCATGAAAGCAGCCGTAGACAATACGTAAATAATTGGGTGTGCCTGTGTGCCAATAAAACTTTATTTATGAACTCTGAAATTTGAATTTCATAAAACTTTCATGTCACAAAATATTCTCCTTTTGATTTTTTTCAACTGTTACAAAATATAAAAACCATTCCTAGCTTACCGTCCATTCAGAAACAGGTGGGGGGGCTGGATTTGGCCTGTGGGCTGTAATTTACTGACCCCTGATTTAAAAAAAGAACATACACACACATGCATACACGTGTGTACACATACATATGCGTACATGGGGAAGAAAGCAAATATGGCATAATGTTAACATTCGGTGAATCCGGGTGGTGGGTATATGGGAGTTCTTTGTACTGGTCTTGGAGTTCATATGTAAGTGTGAAAGTATTTCACAATAAACAGTTAACAAAAAAAAAAAAAAGAGAGAGAGAGATATGATTTTCCCTTTTGGGGACCCAGGAGGGAGAGAAGGAGAGCACTATATCAATGCAAGGGGACTGGTCTCATTCATCTTCTGAATGAGTGGGCCAAGGGTGACTTAGTGACGGTGTTCTTGAATATTGCTCCTAATTGTTGCCTGTTGATTTCACTTCTTCCTGATTTTCTGGCTTAACCTTCATGTCTAGGGACCCCACTTGGCAGACACAAGAGTTTAGGCTCTGTCCTCGCTGTTTGACCATTCCATTTGTCTCTCCCTCTGCTGAATACATTTCCTACCAATGAAGAAAGCAGCCACTTTAAATATGTTCATTGGCTTACTGGTTTTAATATCATGGTCTCTATCCCCCATATTGATTTCTCCAGATTGGTGGTGTTTGACTTAGATGATCAGGACTCTAGAGGTAAGGGCTTGTTTCCCAGCATCTGGCATTATTTACTGGGAGGTGTGCCATGGTGAAAATGTCAAGAAGTTACTGTGATCCATTTTCCCATCATTGAGGCAAAGCCTCTTGTGTTTCTCCAGGCCACATAGCCCTGAGTGGTTGTTCCAAGAACGAGATATTGGGTTTTTTGGAGTGACTACTCCTGAGGTAGGGAGCGTTGGCTGTAATTGACTGAGTGAGGACTCTCTTCATTGCCAGGATCAGAGACCCAACTCAAACTGCCTTTAGGAATTTATTAATTTATATATCACAAAGTGTTGGATAGCATTATGTTCAGGCTTGTTTAGTTCCAGGGGCTGAAATGATGCCATGAGAATTCTGTCTCTCACCATCACTCAATTCTGTTTTCCTTTACTTGGCTTCATTCTCAGGCAGGCTTTTCCCACTCTGAATCCCCAGGTTCATCTTCTACCAGATTAGCAACCCCAGGAGAGAGAAAGCATCTCTAGACCAATAATTCCAGCCAAAATCCCCAGGCTGACTCTCATTGGTTCAGCTCGAGCCATGTGTCCACCTCTGAACCAGTCAGGTGCCAAGGGATTAGAGGATACCGATTGGCCGGGACTGGGTCATATGACCACCCTTGGCTATGAGGTCTGTCAGCTCTATCCAAACCGTGTGGACTAAGAATTGGCAAAGGCATATTTTTTTGCTGTTGCCTTCAGGGGGGATGGAAGCTAGACAGGAAAAACAGCAGTTACTTATTATACAAATGCTATGCCGTCTCCAATTCCAGCCCCAGTTTTCTAAGCCAACAGCATCTCAACCACATCCTTCACAGTTGTGGTGGTACCATTTTAGCTATAGAACGTGACGGTTGTAGTCCCGTCCCCTGACCACAGCAAACAATGAAAAATGACCCGTTCACCTGTTCTCTCCCACACCGTGTCCTGTCTCCTCTGTCCTTCAGGAAACGCACAAGATCTACAAGCAGAAGCTGGAGGAGCTGACCGCCCTGCAGACTTTGTGTAGCGGCTCCATCAATAAGCAGAAGAAGCGCCTGAAGGACTTGAAGTTCACACTCCAGAGGTATGCAGGGGCTCAACTCTTCCCTGGTTTTAAGGGACAGAAACTCAACTCAGAACTGGCTTAAGCAGAAAATGGAAGTGTCAATGGAATAAAACCAGGAGTAGCTTTTGAGATCACCAGATCTGGGGGTCAAAGGGTGTTTTTAGGAATCTTTTTTTTTTTTTTCTCTCTAAATTCTGCCTTCCTGTGGATTGGCTTCTCTCTCAGGTCGACTGTCCCCTCAGGTGGCCACCAGCAGTGTCAGGTCTGTGTTCTCCAGTCTTACTTCTCATTAACTTGGCCACCCCAGCAGAATGAGAACTTCTCTTTCCCTGTACTGTAGCAAAAGTTCTAGGTATGATCCTCATTGGCTGGAATTGGTCACACGACTGTTTGTGACCCAATTACAGAGACTCTGGTTGGGCAAGGCTGGGTCATCTGCCCACCCTAGACCTGGGGGTGGGACAGTCCTACTGGAACCATACTGAGGGGAAGGATGAGAGGATGTTTCCCATAGGAAAGCTGTGGTGCTGTTATAGGTAAACAGCAGAGATCCTTCTCGTGGGTGTGGGAGCTTTCCCAACCAGGATTTCTTGTTTAGGGGGTAGACGTTGGCATCCCCAGCGGGGACATGCTTGAGCTTACGACTTAATTCACTTCTCGATCCTCCTGTTTCATGGTGTGGGACATGTTCTCATTCCCTGTAGATGAAGGGGTATAGTACATGTTGTGACCCCCTTGGCAATCAGGGAAACTGAGGCTTAGAGTGGCTTGTCCCAGGTCACTTAGCTGGGTCTCCATTCCAGAGTTTGTGACCCCTGTCTCTTCCTTAGCGGACAATTTTTAGGAAGGTTACTGATTATACCCCTAACCTTGGCTGACTGTTTTGGAAATGGAGGTCTGTTAGCCAGGAGGTAGAGGGCCAATATAAGAGTGTGGATGGTTCCATGTAAAGACAGTCACTCTTTTTTTTTTTTCTTAGCAAATTAGGTTCCCATTAACAATTTCTACACAATTTGTTCAGTGACATTGGTTGCATTTTTCACAGTGTGTCAACTTTCTGATTGTTTCCACTTAAGACATCCATTCTTAGAAAGACACACCTTATTGATGGCAGGACTCAAGAGTCTTTTTTCAGTCTAGGGTTTTTTCGTCTCGGTGCTGTTGACATTTTGGGTCAGATAATTCTTTGCTGTGAGGGACTGTCCTGTGCGCTGTAGAATGTTGAGCAGCGTCCCTGGCCTCTACCCACTAGATGCCAGTAGCACCCCCCTTCTCAGCTGTGACAGCCAAAGATGTCTCCAGACATTGCCAAGTGTCCCATTGGGGGTGGGGGGCACTGCCGCCCCAGTTGAGAACCACTGGGTTAGAAGGTTAACTCTGAGTTAGGTTCTCACACAGCGAGAACTCCGACCCTTCTGAGGGTGTGTCTGACTTGATTCCCTAGTCTCCAGAGTGAAATTTCACGCAGGAATAATAGGCAGACCTTGACTAGGTGACTGCTTATGCTTTCAGTATGCCTCCCTGTCTGCCCTCTTAGTAATCTGCATGTCACTCTTTCACAAAGGCGAGAGGAAGAATGGTATTGCCAGCCAATCTCCAGTGAGCTCGTACTATGTGTGAAGTGTCATTTCTAAATGCTTTACATTGTATTTACTCATTTAATCTTTACAATGGTAGTGTCTATGAGGTATGCCTGATATTATCCCTGTTTTTGGGTGTGGAAAATAAGGCAGAGAGGTTATTTTCCAAGGTCACAAAGCTAACGAGCCAAAATCAAACCCATAGAGAACAGATGGAGGCCCCAGAATCAAGCTCAGCAAAAACAGATGGAGAACCGAGGTTGCCAGAAGCATTAGGACGGGGAGGTGATGGGAGGGTGATGCCCCACTGCGTCTAGATCCTGTAGTCTGACTAATGCCCCTGCTTCTTCTACACCCCACTTCTGACCACAGGTACAAACGCCATGCCAACCAGGAGGAGGCGGAGCTTGTTCAGCAGCTGGGTGCCAACATCAAGGAACGGCAGAACGTCTTCTTTGACATGGAGGCGTACCTGCCCAAGAAGAATGGGTAGGAGCTGGGGACTTAACTCCACTCCTGCTCAGGCAGGCGCCCAGGCGTAGAACACCTGATCTACCTAGCTTCCACCTCCCTGTGGGCACTTGAGGTTAAGGGGAAAAGGGGGAAAGCGAGGAAAGGAAACAGAAGGAGGCTTCTCTGCATGTTCCCGCCGGAACCCAGGAGGGGCTTCAGCCCGCCGTGTGTATAGTGGCATTCCTGGGAGGGCTCTTGCAAGGAACCAGATGAAGCATTTGGTTTTGGTACCTGCCACATGCCTGGCACCACCCCAAGGTCAAGATGATAGGTAGTTCTCTCCCAGGAGAACAAGTGTTTATTGAGTGCCTACTGTATACCGGCATTGTGCTGGGTGCCTCTTGATGTCGGTGGTTTTATCAAGGGCTCTAGGGGAGGATCCCTCCTTGCCCCTCTCAGCTTCTGGTGGCTCCAGGTGTTCCTTGGTTTTTGGCTGTGTTACTCCACTCTCTACCTCTGCCTTCACATGGCCTTCTCCCCTGTGTCTCTGCATCTCAAATCTCCCTCTCCTTTCTCTTATGAGGACACCTGTCATTAGATTTAGAGCCCACCCTAAATCCAGGGTGATCTCATCTTGAGATCCTTAACTCAGTTACATCTGCAAAGACCCTTTTTCCAAGTAAGGTCATGCTCACAGTTTCTGGGGGTTAGGACGTGGTCATATATTTGGGGGGGACACCATTCAGCCCATAGAAGGTCCTCACAGGTCTTTCCTTCCAGGCTCTACTTAAATCTGGTCCTGGGCAACGTGAATGTGACCCTTCTCAGCAACCAGGCCAAGTACGTATGCCTAGATCCCTCCCAGCTCTGCGGGACCTGGGCATTTTGCTCTTTTAACTCAGGAAAGATGGACCCAGGCTAGGATTATTACATAAATAAAAATACATTGACATTTGGGGCTCTGGGTTTTGAGTCCTTCTGGCCCTTTCCTCCTTTGTGAGTAGAATATTTGGGGGAGGTTTTCCTTCCTTTCACAGAGTCAGTACACTGGGTGGACAGGACCCCTCACTTCCCATGAGAATGGTCCCTCTCTATTCCATGCCTCATCACACACATATCTCATGGGAAGTGAGCAGTCCTGTCCACCCTAAATTTCCAGGGGAAATTGAACCTGGCATTTCTGCTGTAATGCATTGGTTGAGGGAGGAGACCTTGTCTCTGCCTGCCTGGCCGCCCTCACCGCGGACCTAGAGCCCTAAACAAGGAGTCCAGGGACTTGGGGAACTTTGTGTAGTTGATGCTCTTTCCCTAATTGATCATCACCATTAATTCAAGGCCAGGTCTCTTCTTTAATGGGATAAGGAGGCCCTTGTGGGGTATGGGAGTGGGGGTAGGTCAAGGATCTGAGGGTGGGATAGTAATAGTGACTTGACCTTTTGCGGGGGGTCTGTGGTGGCAGGTTTGCCTACAAGGATGAGTATGAGAAGTTCAAGCTCTACCTGACGATCATCCTACTCCTTGGTGCTGTGGCATGTCGATTTGTCCTTCACTACAGGTAACGGGGTGTGGGTGTGCTGGGGGGTGGTGAGGAGAGGACCAGCTGGCTTGAATGCCAGGAGAGAGGGGTCTAAGGTCACTCCTGCTTCTGTAGCATTTGCTGTGATAAGGCATGGGGTTGAGAAGGGGCCACTTCTTACAGGAAGTGGCAGTTCTGTCCACCCTACAGCCATCTGATAAATATTAAATGCTTCTGGAAAGGCCTGATGACATAGTGGTTACGAAAGAGCCCAATGTGGTGTATCCATACAGTGCAATATTATTCATCCATTAAAAGGAAAGAAGTATTGACACATGCTAGGACATAAATGAACATATAAAACATGCTAAGTGAAAAAATCAATCACAAAAGACCACATATTGTATGATTCCATTTATATGAAGTGTCCAGAATAGACAAATCCATAGACACAGAAAGTAGATTAATGGTTGCCAGGGGATGGAGGGAGGGAGAAATGGAGAGTGACTTATAATGGATACAGGGTTTTTTTGGGGTGATGAAAATGTTTTAGAATTAGGTAGTGGTTTTGGTTGTACAATTGTGAGTATACTAAAAACCTATGAATTGTACACTTGAAAGGATCCATTTTTTGGTATAGGAATTATATCCCAATTTTAAAAAAATAAAAAGGAAGAGCTCAGACTGCCTAGGTTTGAATCCAAGCTTTGTGACTTAACTGGCTGTTAACCACAGGCAGGTGTCCTCTGGGACCCTCAGTCTCCTTATCTATAAAATGAGGGTGATAATAGTACCTATTGCACAGAATTGTTAAGATAATTAACTGAGCTAACAACTGTATGTGTAAGGGCTTAGAATAGCACCTGGCGCACAGTGGTGCCCACTGAGAGCATTAGCAGTTATTTAGGTAAGATGAGGTCGTGCTGCTGGGAAGGTGAGGCAGTGGAGGATGTGGCACTCGCCCAGAGTGTTTCATTTCTCTCTCTGGCACTGTATCTTCTGCCTGGGGGGAGACAGCTAAGTACAGCTTGGACATTTGGCCCACGTATCAAGGGTTCATTTCCTGGCAGGCCCTTGACTGGGAGTCCAGCTGCTGGTGTGGTCTCTTGACTGCCCAAACGAAGGCTCTCTTAGGCCTGAGCCCGTGCCCGCCTGCTGCCTCAGGCCTGGCCCGTCCTCCTGGAGAGCAAAGCCTGCCTGATAGGGAGTGGCTGCTCACGTGCCCCTCTGGAAGAGGGTGAAAGTTCTCAATGTGCAGCCAGATTCCCTGGTGCTGGGACCTCCAGGGCCCTCTGACGGCAAACTTGTGGGGTGTTGCCAAGTTCTCAGGTTCGTCTGAGGGCCCGAGTGTTTTCATTTCTCCCCACCTCCCTTCTGTGTGAGTTCCCTAGGACTGCCGTAACAAAGTCCCACACACTGGGGGCTTAAAACTACAGACACATACTGTCTTGCAGCTCTGGAGGCCAGAAGTCCAAATTGAGGGTGTCAGCAGGGCTGTCCTGTCTCCGGAGGCTCTAGGGGAGGAGCCTTCCTTGTCTCTTCCAGTTTCTGGTGGTTGCCGGCAGTCCTTGCTGTTCTTGGCTCGTGGCTGCATCACTCCAGTCTCTGCCTCCGTCGTCACATGGCCGTCATCCCGTGTGTGTCTGAGTCTCTCTCATGGCCTCCTATAAGGACACCAGTCACTACCACCCACCCAGAGGCATCTCAGAAGACAGGCCTGGCGATCTACTTCCAGGCCACCGCCTTGAAAACCCTGTGGAGCAGTTCTACTGTGTATACACAGGGTCGCCGTGAGTTGGAATTGACTCAAAGGCAACTAACAACAGCAACGACTCCAGTACGACTTCATCTTTAATTTAACCGATTACATCTGCAGAGACCCTATTTCCAAATAAGGTCACATGCCGAGGTTCCAGGTGGACATGAATTTTTGGGGAACACTATTCAACAAGGAGCCCTGGTGGCGCAGTGGGTAAAGCGATTGACTGCTAGGAAACCACCAGCGGCTCTGCGGGAGAAAGATGTGGCCGTCTGCTTCCGCAGAGATTTGCAGCCTTGGAAACCCTATGGGGTCACTATGAGTCGTAATCGACTCAATGGCAGTGGGTTTGGGTTGGATTTTTATTCCACCCAGTACACCATCCATGGGTTAAAAATGGGTGAAGGGAGAAGGCAGCTTGTCTCTGTCCCGGTGTCCTCAGAGTTGCTTCCTATGCTGTTTATCTTTGAGCAAATGACCCACCTCTCCCTGCCTCAGTTTCTACACATATGAAAGGAAGATAGCAGTAGTTCTTTGGTAGGACGGCTGTGAGGACTGTTTGTAAAGTGCTCAGAATAGTGCCTGGGGCATAAGTGCTGTTTAAGGGTGAGTGAGTATTGTTGGCACCATCTCTTTTTTTTGCTAAGACTAGCCATGCATGAAAAAGATCAGCACTTAAAGTACAGTGCATCTAGGGGACAGGATCCCTTTCCCTCACTCATGCCCCCCCCACCCCAGTCTTTTCCTTGCTGGGTGCCCCACCCACAGACCCTTCCATAGCACCTCATCTGAGCCTGTGAAGGGCATGGCTAACATTCTTCAGAGCCATGGGCTCTAGGTCCAGGCTGTGTGACCTTGGGTAGAGCCCTTGACCTCTCTCTCTCTGCCTATGCCTCATCTCTCTTGAGGACGCCCGCTCTGCCAGTGCCACCTGGTCTTCGGGAGGCTTCAGTGAGGTAGCTGGAGAGTTGGAAGCCTTCTCCTGCCACCCTCAGGCCAAGAGACTGTATCTGGTTGAGACTGTGCTCTTTGGGGGTTTGAACCAGGTAGAAAGAGGTAGTTGAAGTTTAGCTCTGGGGTTGGGTGGGCTTGGGTTTGGATTCCATTCCATTGCTTACCAGCTGGGTAATCTTGGGTGGCTCAGCTCCCCTCTCTGAGCCTCGGTGTCCTTATCTGTAAAATGGGAAGTATTACTGTTTTGGTTAGGTGCCCCCAGGAGAGACCCCAAGACAAACATTTGAGTACAGGTAGTTTATTTGGAAGGTTTCTGGGTGGCACGAATGTTTTGTACTTAACCCTCGACACTAACCTGAAGGTTGGCAGTTTGAACCCACCCAGTGGCACTGCAGAACAAAGGCTTGGTAGCCTGCTTCCATCAAGATCACAGCCAAGAAAACCTTATGGAGCAGCTCTACTCTGTGACACATGGGGTTGCCCTGAGTCTGAATCGACTCGACAGCAATGGGTCATTTATTTGGAGGTGATTCCAGGAAGCACTAGTGCAAGGATGGGGAAGTAAGTCAAGGAAGGGTGATTCTGTGAGCTTAATCCTGCTGGGGAACAGGGACATCGTGGAGAGCACAGTTCAGAGTCATCCCACGTGAGGGGCGAGGGAGCTGGGGTATTTATGCACCGACTGCTCTCTGCCAGGGGAATTGAGGTCTGCTCCCGGGGTGTTAATTCTCCTGTTCTTCTGCTCATCCCCACACACAGAGTGGGCCCTGGTGGCCTGAGAAAGCCCCCAGGCACACCAAGAGTTGAAGGTTCTGGCAGTTGCCCATAACTAGTGCTGGCCTAGCATGGCAACTGACTAACAGCCCCCCAAAGGTGTCTACATCCTAATCCCCAGATTCTGTGACTATTCCCCTTACCTGGCAAAAAGGACTTTGCAGTTGTGAGTAAATTAAGGATCATGAGATGTGAAGATTATCCTGGATTACTGGGTGGGCCCTAAATGTAATCCCAAGGGTCCTTTGAGGAGGGAGGCAGGAGTCTCAGGGTCAGACAAGATGTGAGGACGGAAGCAGAGGTCAGAATGATGTAGAGCTAAGGAATGTGGCAGCCTCTAGAAGCTGGAAAAGGCAAGAAAACGGATTCTCCCCTAGAACCTCCAGAAGGAATGCAGCCCTGCTGACCCGCTTCTGAACTCCAGAACTGTAAGAGGATAAATATATGTTGCTTTCAGCTGCTAAGTTTGTGGTAATTTGTTACAACTGCAGCAGGAAACTCATACACTTCAACAGAACACACTGAGGCTAGCACCTCAGGTTATGTCCCTAAAGCTCTGAAGCCATGAAATCTTATTTTTATTCCTCTCTTCACTGAGAAGGTATGGAAAGAGATAAGTGAAAAATATCCTGGTAGCCATGATTCAAGGAGCCCTGGTGGGGCGATGTTAAGCACTTGGCTGCTACCTAAAATTTGGTGGTTTGAACCCACCCGGTGGCTCCACGGGAGAGAAGACCTGGCGATCTGCTCTGTAAAGATTACAGCCTAGGAAACGCCACAGAGCAGTTCTGTTCTGTCCCATGGGGTCGCTATGAGTCAGAATCGGCTTGACAGTACCTAACAGCAACAACAACCATGACTCACTACTGGGCCTGCCTCCTGCTTGGAGGGGAGCCCAAAAGCCAGCATCTCATGTGACCCTCTGAACTGGGGTGGTGCGAGTCATTGCGTCCCGTCCCTGCTCCTCGCCTTTCCTGTTCAAGTCAGGCAGCCATCTGATGTCCCCAGAGCTTGGCTCCTGAGATGCATCTCTTGGACTTTGGCTACTCTGTGGTGCTTCCAGAATTCTGACAGGAAACATATAAAGCAGCTCTTACTATGTGCCGGCACTGTTCTAAGCACGTTATCTATTAAACTCAGTTCGTGGTCACAACAGCCCCACGCGGCAGGTGCTATCACTGTCCCCACTTCACAGGTGAGGAAGCGACAGCATGGGAGAATAACTAACCTGTCCACAGTTTGAACTTGGGCCTCTTTCCAGAGTCTGTTCCCGAGACAGCCTCTGTGGCATGCTTTAGCAGGGGGTGCGCTGAGAGTGTTTGGAGTCTGCGGCCACAAAACAGGGTCACGGAGCTTAAAAGACAGCTCCCAACATCCCTTATTGGTGTTATAGTCAGTCACACCCTCCTTCCTTTTCCCCCAGACCATTACAGTTGGGGAAAAGGATATCCTGGTTCAGGGATAGAAATGGAAGGGTTGGTGGTATTTTCCTTTCCCTTTATTCCGACAGACGGTACCAGTGGAGCTGTTTCTGTTCCCTTGCTGAACGAGTCTGTGTGGCACTGGGAGGTACAGAGGTGCTGCCCTGTTGGGTCAAAGACAGAGCCATGGTCGAGGTGGAGGGGGAACCCTCTGAGGCTGCTGGGAGGGATCTGAGCCTGCACCAAGGAATGCTCACTGAGCTTCATGTTGGGGAGCAGCCTTCCCACTTTACAGAGGGCAAGACTGAGGCCAGGGCAGGTCTCCGTCAGGGTCTCACACAGCTTGTCTGCTGGCCGTCACTCTGATCGTGGGACAGACAACTTCAGCAGCCCAGTTCTGTCCACCTTTAAGGCCTGTTCTGCCCAGCTCCAGGTTGTGGACATCACAGAGGACTCAAAGGCAGCATCAGACACTGTCCCAGGAGAGTCCCTAGTGAGAACAGTCACAGAAAAGCTCACAGGACAAATGTCCAGCATAGGCAAATCTGTAGAGACAGAAAGTAGCTTAGTGGTTGCCTAGGGGTTGAGGATGATAGCTAGAGGGTACTGGGTTTCTTTTAGGGGTGATGAAAATATTCTAAAATTGATAATTGTGATGATTGCATAACCCTGTGAATATGCTAAAAACTACTGAATTGTACGCTGTAAGTGGGTGAATTGTATGGTATGTGAGTTATATCTCAATAAGGTTGCTACAAAAAAAAAACAAATCACAGGACGGGGCCATGTATGCTGCGTTCTTAAGTTAGTCTTAGAAACCATGAGAATTGTTTTGGATGTGTAATGAAGTTCACAGATTGTCTAAGGGGATGGAGGGAGTTTACATCTTTAAAATAGATATTAAGTGTCCTGTTCTTAAGTCCTTCTGTCACCATGCCACCAGAAATTTCACATTAGACATTGAGAATTTTTTAAAAAATAATGTATTGTGTTTACAGTGACGGTTTCCACAACAGTTTAGGTTCCCATTTGACAATTTCTATACAAGTTGTTCATTGGTTACATCCTTCACAATGTATGAACATTCTCAGTCTTTCTATTCTGGTTATTCCATTTCCATTAATCTGGTTTCCCTGCCCCTTTACCTTCTCATCTTTGTTTTAAAGTAATTGTTGACCATTTGGTCTTATATAGATGATTTTTTAAATGACCATAGTGCTCATGAGTGATACTCTTTATTCGGTGATCCAGTCTGTCTTTTAGCTAAAAGGTGACCTCAGGGGCTAGTTTTGGTTCAAGGTTTAAAGAGTATCTCAGGGTAATAGTCCTGGGGAGCCCTCCAGTCTCAACTGGTCCAGTAAGTCTGGATTGTTTAAGAATTTGAGTTTCTGTTCCACATTCTTCTCCCATTCTGTCAGTTTCCGTCTGTTGTGACCCTAATCAGAATGGTTGGTAGTGCTGGCTGGGCACCATCTAGTTCTGGTCTCAGGGTAGATGAGGCCGTGGTTCATGTAGACTGTTTGTCCTGTAGACTAGTTTCTTTGAGTCTTTTGTTTCCTTTCTGTTTTGCTCCGGATGAATAGAGATCAATAGTTTTATCTTAAATGGCCACTTGCAAGCTTTTAAGACCCCAGACACTACTTACCAGACTAGGATGTAGAACACAGAACGTAGCTTTATGAACTATATTATGCCAGTTGACCGAGATTTTCCACGAGACTATGTTCCTGAGACTTCACGCCCAGAAAACCAGTCCCGTGAGGTGTTTGGTCAGACGTTAAGAATTTACCAGGTTGCCAAGTGTGGCGTGGTCAGGGAAGGATGGGGAACCTCAGCTAGGTTTGAAGGGGAGGTAGGATTCAAGTAGGAAGATGAGGAGGGGGACAGGCATTCTAGGGGGAGAGGAGACGCCCAAGAGGCCAAACTCCCCTGCCTTCCCAGGGTGCAGCTGGGGAATTCCAGGGACGGCACCTGCCTTGGGAGACCTCAGCCCTCATTTGTGTGCTCTGTGTGGGTGGGGATGGGTCACCTGTCCCTCGTTCTCATGCTCACCCCCCGATGGGGATGTTTGTCCACAACAGGGTGACGGACGAAATCTTTAACTTCCTGCTAGTGTGGTATTACTGCACCCTGACGATACGGGAGAGCATTCTTATCAGCAATGGCTCGAGGTAACTGGGGACCCGGCTTTGTGGGGAGTGTGCAAGGGGGCAGTCCTGAAGGGGAGTCAGGTCGAGGGCTGTCAACCTCCTAGGGGAGCAAGGGGGTCCATGACTGTTCAGATCCGCGTTTGGAAAGGAAAACCACATTTGATGCTGTTGTTACAGCATCACTTGCTTGCAAGCAACAGAAAACCTAACTCCAACCGATTTAACAAGAAGGAAATTTATTTTCTCGTATCAAGCAACAGTCAGGTCCATTGGGTGCTGGCTTCAGGTAAGGCTTGATCCAAGTGCTCAGGGTCATCAGGGCCCAGTTTCTTTCCATCTCTCACCTCTCCCTTCGACTGTGTTGTCTTTCTTCTCAGGCTCCATGCAGGGGCATCCAGCAGCCCCAGAATTGTGTCATTATGTCTAGCATTTCCAGCAAAATAGGGTATGTTATGTTCCTTCTAAGAGTCTGGGTCCCTTTGGTGCTGGCTGAATCATGTGCTCATCTCTGAACCAATCACTATGGCCTAAGCCTCGTGCTCTACTGTGATTGGTTGGGCCTGAGCCTCATGTCTGCCCTGATAGCTGTCATTAGAGACAGCTCCCCAGAGAAGTGTAGAAGCAGCTGAGTGTCAGCAAGAGGAATGGTTCTCCAGAGGAAAATTGAGATACTGTTACTAGGAGAAGGATGAATGGATTCAAGGTGGCAAGAGTGGATGGTCTCCTGCAGGGAGATGGGGAGGAGGGTGGACAGGTGATGGGGATCTCGAGCTCTAAGGGAGATGAGCAGATCTTGAGAGGTGTTAAAGATGTCCTAGCACCTAATCAAGACTCTCCTTAATCAAGAGAATGGAGAAAGAATTGGAAAGATGACTTCTCACCCCATGGTTCAGTATCATCTAGCATTACAGTCCGGTATCACGTAAAATATGGTGGTCTGTGCCCCATGCTTTGGGAAACACTGAAGTAGAAAATCTTACCAAGTAAATAACATTTCATAGTTTTCCCTAATTTTGGAGTGAATAATGTGTTTTTGCTTGTGAGTGTGGTTAGAGGGGAACCAGGGGAAATGGGGCCAGGGCAATTTGCAGGGCTTCCTTGGTGCTAATTCTCTTCCTGTACCCATGGGCTTGCTACCAATCTTGGGCTTTCCCCCTTCTTCTGGATTCATGTTAAGAGTGCTCAGGGGCATAACATGCTAAGTCAATAACAGTCATTAACACTTTAGTAAGAGTTACTCTAGTGAGCTCTTTTTCTAGTATGACAAGTTGTGGATGAGGGGTGAGGGGCTACCATGGAGAATGAAGCAGAACTGAGTGGGGGTCCCTGGAAGAGTAGGGTACACCAGGAAGACAGAGAGGGGCACTAAAGGGGGAGAGACTGAGGTTCTAAAGTCCAGCCTCACCTGCCTAATGGCTTAGCAAGGGCCTTTGGAGGCCTCTCTGGAGCTCAGGTTCTGCAGGTAGAGCAGGAAGGTTGTCCCTGCGCTTGTAATTCAGAGCTTTGTGTGTGCCGCACCCCCCTTCCCATTCATCATACATTTACTGAGCCTCTCCTAAGTGCAGACACTGAGTAGAGACTCTGAGAGAATTCACAATCGGTGCCTTCTGGGAGCACCTAGAGTCTCCTTAGACCCAAAGGTGTTTTTAAGAAGACCATTTCTCGACAAGGTGGCTCAGGAATCACAAGCTGATGACGCACATTCCTCCAGGCCTGGCTCAGCGCTGGGGCAGGGCTTGGGTGGCCTGGAGGTGGGAATCTGGGTGGGGCAGGGTGGGCTTCTGGGATGCCTACAGAAACTGTGGGGGGTGGTGAGTGGGGGAGAGGGCATGGTAGGTGGCCCCCGTCTGGGTCACTAAAATTAGTGACTCATCCTCACCATCCGCTGGAGACTTAGCCTGACTCTCCCCCAGCTCCTTGTCAGAGCTGAGTTCTCCTGGGGGCGGGCAGGATGCCTTTGAGGTCTCTCCTCCCTGCTTGGCCACTTACCAGGGAATAGCTAAAGAACCAGCCCAAGAGAGTGCAGGAGGAGGAGGAGAGAGAGGCTGGATTGGGATGAACACTACCTTTTTCATTTCTGAAGCATCCCAGGGCAGCTTGGGGTTGGTACCCAGTAATCACCCCATAGTCTGTTGAAATGAATCGACCCCAAGCTCTAGAATGAGGGAAGGTCCTTGAGGCCATACCGGAGTTCTGGAAACAGTGGAGGTGAAAGACAGGAGCGTCCTGGATGTTTGCTGCCCTGTTGTGGTCTGACCGGGCCTCTTCCCTGTTCCTGATTGTACCTGAGGCCTGAACTGGGACAGGGTGTGGTCAGGGATGCAGGCCTAGGGAGTGCGAGGCACTTCCCCAGCGTGGGATAGAGCCAGTCTTGGTTCGTGTCTGTTGCCTCCCAAGTGAGAGCTCATTAGCTCAGTTAGTATAATAAGCAAGACCTCATCCCTTGCAAATTTTGCAAATGATGGAAACCTACCCCACTGAAGCGAAACAAGAAGGGAGGTTTATGAGTGCATGTAACTGGGAAGTTCACTTGAACAGTCTTAGCACCCACCCCCCTCCCCCACTAGTCTCCCCACTGTTTTTCCCTGCTTTGGCCCCCAGCATCCCCAGGCCAGCATGCTACCCATATCAATCCCTGTGGATTAGCAACCCCAGAGCAAAGACAGCTCTTTCCTTTACAATCCAGCTGGAATCTTGAGCCAGATTTCTCATTGGCTAGGCTCAGGTCACATGGTCATCCCTGAGCCAATCACTGTGGCCAGAGGGATGCAGCTCTGTGTCATGTGCTATTGATAGTATTTAGCTCCACCCACCCATCCGGGTTGGGTTGAACATGGGGAATTAGTGGTTCCCCAAAAGAAAACCAGGCCCTGAAACCAGAAGTGGTGGAGGTGATTGACAGGCAAAACAGCAGATGTCCACGACAGGTAGTTGTGGACTAGAGCTGATGAATCGTGATGAATCAGCCATCATGTTGACTTTTCTGGTGAGCCTGGCCCTAGCTGGCTTTTATAGGGGCTTTTCCAATTGCTGCCTACCATGTGGGAGGCCTGGGTTTGGTTCCAGGCCAGTGCACCTCCTGTGTAGTCACCACCTATCATTGAAGGCTTGTATGTTGCAATGATGCTGAACAGGTTCCAGTGGAGCTTCTAGACTAAGACAGACTAGGAAGAAAGGCCTGGCAATCTACCGCCAAAAATCAGCCAATGAAAGCCCTGTAGATCACATTGGTGTGATCTGCAACTAATCATGTGGATGGTGCAGGACCTGGCAGCATTTCGTCCTGTTATGCATGAAGTAGCCATGAGTTGGGGGCCAAGTCGATGGCAGATAACAACAATTCCTTGGATACAAGGGTGTAGGGGTGGCAGGCATGCAAGGACCCTCAGAGCATACATAAGCCATTCCTTCAACTGGGCGGATAACTCGAAGCACAAAGCCAGCAGTGGCCTGTGGTTGGTAAATATGTGGCTAAAGTGTCATGCAGCATGCAGGGAGGGTGGGATATCTCCCCAGGCCCGATCCCCAGATACCTGTTCCGAAATTCTGGCCACTTGTGCCTCTTCTCTTCCTGGGGCATGTGCTATCTGCTCATAAACAATGCCCACAGCCCCCAAAAGCTTTGTTTCTGTGGGAGGACAGGCCCAGAGTGGCTGTTGATGGGCACAAGGGCTTCTTTTTGGGGTGATGAAAATGTTCTAAATTTGATTGTGGTGATGGTTGCACAACTCTGTAAGTAGACTAAGAGCCACTGAATCGCCCACTCTAAATGGTGATTTGTTTGGTTTCTGGATTATATCACAATAAAGCTGTTACACGAACACAGAGACACACACGCAGCAAACGAGCCCAGCGCCCTGGGGTGTGCAGATGGAGGAGAGCAGCTCGGGAAGGCCATGCTGGGCAGAGCACTTTCTAGTCTCGCCTGAGGCCGCCGAGCTGTTTCTCGATGGTGTCTGTGGGAGCCAGGCTGTGGACACAGCGAGCTGTGAAATGATAAGCTGCTGCTCAGCCAGGCTCACTGCTGAGCTCTGCTGCCCAGAAGTCCGTCTGACTGGGGCTGCTTCCACCGAGGGAGAGGGTGCAGCTCAGGGGAACTCTGGGGAGTAGGAGAAAGGTGACAGGTGCGGTGAGGGGGGTGCCAAGACCTAAGGCTCATGTGAGACCTTGCAGAGACCTGGTGAGGTTCCAGAGAGACCTCTTGATTGCTCTTAGAGCTGAGTCCGAGGATGAGGGCCAGCTGCCTTTGCTGGGAGGAAACCGGAACCCTCAGGCATCTTAGATTCTGACAGACCAGAGAGGGATGGGGGTGGGGCGGAGGCTGAGGGACAAAGAAGTGACGGATGTCTTATTCTGTCCCCATGAACTCTCATGGCACCTGTGAGAACCTACTGTCACCTCTGTGCTGGTGCCATCCCAGCTGCTGTTGTCACCAGCTGCACCTCCTGGATGTCACTTCATTCATTCTAAACATTTGAGTGCCTACTGTTTATATGACGCTATTAGTGCTAGGAATACAGAGCATATCAAACCGAGTCTCCTGCCGTAACTCTTGAGGTGTTCACAGGCTGTGGTTGAACACTTAATTTATTTTCTGGCGCTCTTGTCTGGGCTGTAAAGAGAAGATGAGATTGGTAAGATCCGTCACTTATTTATTTTGGCTGTTGTCTTTTTTTTTTTTAGTGTTGTTGAAAATATACACAGCAAAACATACACCAATCCAATAATTTCTACAGGTACAATTCGGTGACATTGATTACATTCTTCGAGTTGTGTAACCATTCCCACCCTCCTGTTCTGAATTGCCCCGCCCCCCAGTTGACATGAACTCACTGTCCCCCAAGCTTCCTATCTAATCTTTCCAGTTGCTGTTGTCAGTTTGATCCCATGTCGATAGCTTTTTAAAAGAGCACAATGCTCAAGGCAGCCTGTCTCTTCTCTTAGATGATGTTTATGGTTCAGGTTAGAAGGTTTTAAGACCATTCAAACCCACTTATCATTAGGGAAATGCAAAGTAAAACCTCGGTGACACACCAGTTTTCACTTAGTAAGCTTGGCAGAAAGTTTGAAAGTTGGCATTTGGTGTTGGTTGAGGGTTTGGGGAACCAGATACTGTCCTGTACGCTGACGGGAATGTAAGCTGGCATGGCTGTCTAGAGGGCGGTGGACGAGTCAGAACGCACCTAGCCTCTGCCCCAGCCGCCTCCTTCTTGGCAGCCACCTGGAGGCACATGTCATGGCATCAGGGGACCTCCACAAGGATGCCACTGTGGCATGGAGGGTGACAGTGACAGCTGAGGAACAGCCGGCTAGAAGTGGCAGAGCCACACCTTGGAATGTTGGTTGTCATTTAAGAGGCCACAGACAGACCCACAGTATGGACTTGGGCATCAAGACAGAAAAGCAAGTTGCAGAATGATTTTAGTTAAAAAGGAAGTGCAAACCAGCATTTCCTCGTGGTTCCTCCTTTTTGCAAGTGGCAGCCACCATGGACGCCTGCTGCACGCTGTCCCAAGAGAGGATTCTGGAGGGATGAGGTGCATCTCGTGGGCCCCCCCGCCCTCACTGCCCAGTCCCGCAAGGAAGGAGCACATCAAAGAGTGGGGGGGGGTAGTTGCGAAGCAAATGACCGCCACACCACGTTGCTCAGATCTCAGCCCTGAGGGAGCCAGGGCCGTCAGGAGACGCCAGAGGCAGACTCGGGCTTTGAAGGTTAAAGGTTTGAGGCTCCAGCTCCTGTCTTCCTGGGCCCCCTCAGTACCGAGGAGGAGTGAAAACCAGGCTCGCCTCAAGCTGAGGGCGCCGAGTTCTGAGAACAGGGTCCTCCCAGCCTCTGGACCAGACTAGTGAGTCCAGGGCAGGGCGAGAGCTCGTGGGTGCGCTGCTCCCGGGGAGAAGCTGCATCTCAGGTGGTGTGAGATGCCACCGTGTGAGAAGCACATCTGTCGTGTCTCTGCATCCGGGGGAGTAACATATATGTAGCTGCAGCTGTGTGTACGTGTTTATTCAACACATTTACTGAGCACCTGTTTGTGCCAGGTGTCACAGATACATCAATGACAAGACAAGGTCCTTGCTTGTCTGCAGTGTACACGTGCCTGGGGGAGGGGGCGCAGTTAACAAACAAGTAAAATGTATAATAAATAATTGCAGAGAGCAGTAAGCACCAGGAAGAAAAGGAACAGGGTACTGTGACTCGGAGGAGGAGGGCGTTGGGGCTGTGGCTGTTTCAGATACGGTGGTTGGGGAAGGCCCCTTTGAGGAGGTGATATTGGATCTGAAACTTGAATTTCAGCCAGGAGCCGGGCAGCCAGGCAGAGGTCTTGGTGCAGCGAGAACAGCAGGTACCAAGACCCTAAGGTGGCGGCGGGCTTGGCGGGGTCAAGGATCAGAAGGACTAGGTGCCTGGAGCATGTTGGCGAAGGGGAGAGGAAGGGGAGGTGAGGACAGGGAGACCAGTGGAAGGAGTTGGGGACGTGTTTACGAGGGTAGCAGGAAGATCTTACTGGGCTAATCTGGGCGTCGTTTGTATGTGATTGTCTGGTATGACAGCAAGACGAGTTAACCGTCTGGAACCGTCAGTTCCAACGCATGGTGACCCCGTGTATGTCAGAGTGAAACTGTGCTCCGTAGGGTTTTTAATGGCTGATTTTTCAGAAGTAGATTGCCAGGTCTTTCTTCTGAGGCACCTCTGGGTGGACTCCAACCTTCTGGTTAGCAGCTGAGCACCTTAACTGTTTGCACGCCAGAACAGCGAGAAGGGCAGAGTAATTGCCTGGGTCCCTTTTTTGCTCCAAGAAGCTGCTTCCCAGTCGGCTGCACAGTAGCCACCGCATGCCTTGGCTGGGCCCAGGTCGCCTCCTGCTTGTCTCTCCCGACCTGAGCTCTCTTTCCTTCTCTCTTCCTTCTGAGGATCAAAGGCTGGTGGGTATCTCACCACTATGTGTCCACGTTCCTGTCAGGAGTGATGCTGACTTGGTGAGTGCCTCCTTCCCAGGCCCGGGAGCCTCTCCTCACCTGGTTGGGGGGAGCGGGACGTGGGGGCCGGGGAGTGAGGAGGGATCCACAGGTGGAACCTTCCAGGGCTCCGGCCTGAGCTGACTCTGGCCTGGAAGGAAAGTGTGAGTTTCCAGCTGGCCAGGGGCTGGCTGCAGGGGCCCAGCTGGCTGGGCAGTTTTGGGGGCTGCAGCAGAAGGGCAGAAGTGACCAGAAGCTCAGCAGCAGGAGTGAGAAGTGAGGCTGGAGGGAGCCAGCCTGTAGACTGGGCTCTGGCCCTAAAGGAGCCCTGCAAGAAGGTGGGGTGGGAAGTTGGCTTCAGAATGACAGTGTGGGCTGCCCTGCTTCTAGAAGGGACTTCAAGCAATTATGGATGACCCGATCCGGCACTGGGACACTTTGGTGATAAAGAAGGCAGAGTCGTTGAATTGGTGTATATTCTGCTGTATATATTCTCAACAATAACAAAAGAGAAAATACAGTAAATAAAAGAAAAGGCAGAGCTCGGGGACCTCGATTTAACTTTAAAACCTTGTCTTCTCTCTTGGTTGGAGTGGAGATGGGGGCGGTGATTTCTGACTTCTGACCCACAGCCAGCCTCACCTTGACTTTTCCCACCTTCTCTCCAGGCCCAACGGACTCATTTACCAGAAGTTTCGCAATCAGTTCTTAGCGTTTTCCATTTTTCAGAGTGAGTGTCTTTTGCCCAGATTTGGAGGAGGGGCACGGTTTCCTGTGACTTTCAGTGATGGAGGCCCTTAGGGGTGTCCCCGGGTGACATCAGCATGCTCCAGGCGGGAGGCCCTGGCCAGCCTGGGGTTGGAGAGGGTCTCAGGAAATCCAGAAAAGAGTTATTTTTTCCCCCAGATCAACGCCATCTACCCCACCCCGAGAGTCTCAGTCACCACTCATCCCCCGCCACCCCAGGTCCGAACCGGCCCACTTGGCCCTTCAGGAAGTGAGTGGTGTCGGGCCACCTACTTTGTCTTCCAGCTTTAAATAAGTCCTCAAACTGGAAATACATGTTAGTATTCTCCTTTAAAAAGAGCTCTCCAGTGGTTGCCTCTGGGTGGGGGCTCAGAGGGCTGGGGGCAGGGACAGAGAGGTTGACTCTTCACTCTTTTGTTCCTTTTCAATTTTATACCATGTGCATGTTACCTACTCAAAAATACATTTTAATTTTAAAATAAAGACCTGCTTGCCAGCAGACACAAATGGGTAATGCCGAGAATGGAAATTAAGTATAATCCCACCCTTAGGGATGATCACTGCTAATTGATCGCTGTCCTGTCAGACACTTTCATCACAAATACATACATACAGATATACTCTGTATTACATATATTTTGAGGTCCCTGGGTGACGCAAACGGTTAGGTACTTGACTACTAGCCAAAAGGTTGGCAGTGTGAATCCACCCAGACGCGCCTTGGAAGACAGCCCTGGCGATCT